GTGAATGGCTTAAAATTGGCTACTTTGAATCATTCTAGCAGGTTCTAAACCACAGGGGTGTCCCTAGCTGCTGGTACCTGGCCTGGGATGATGAAGACAGGGGTACTGCCTCCTTTGTCCAGATAGAGTCTGGCTCTGGATTGACCGGTTTGCAGAACAAAGACATGCGTCCACTGGGCCCTCCTGCTCCAGGAACCGACTAAACTAGGAGAGTCAGTCTCATATATATATATATATATATATATATATATATATATATATATATACATATACATATATATTCTCATAATATGTATATGACAAAAATAAAAATAAAATATAAATATAATATATATGTATATATATAATATGACAAAAAATTGTTTAAGCCATTTCTTGTTGGTCATACTCGGGCTGTCACCTTCAGCAGGGTGAATCCTAGCAGGTCAAGGTGACCCTGGCCATGTACCATTACTTAGAGAACTTCCTATCTTTGTCTGTGATCCGGGACAGTTTATACATCACATAGGATGGTGATAAAAACTACTCATAAGGGGCAGCCCGGGTGGCTCAGCAGTTTAGCGCTGCCTTCAGCCCCGGGTGTGATCCTGGAGACCCGGGATCGAGTCCCATGTCAGGCTCCCTGCAAGGAGCCTGCTTCTCCCTCTGCCCGTGTCTCTGCCTCTCTCTGTGTGTCTGTCATGAATGAATAAAGAAAGAAGATCTAAAAAAAAAAAAAAAAGAAAGAAAGAAACTACTCATAAACCCGCACGCAGGGCCCACTGTCATACTTTAGAAGTTAGTATCTAAGTAACTTTCCAATGTGGGACCCAGGAAATTGAACAAAATCCCCTACCCCTGGACAAGCAGAGCAGGACTGACTTGGGCTGCACCCGCCTTGTGCTGACCTGCTTATTACTTAGGGCACTGCCCCGCCCTAATCAAAGACCAGGGCACACCCTAACCAGAAATCCGGCTCAGCGGACCAGCTTGACTGTGCAACTTTCTGCGTATCCCATTGGCCACTGGCCCCTATAAAGTTGCTAAGCCACTTAGTCTCGGGGACCCAGGCTCGAGCTTGTGAATAAACCCTCGAGTGATTGTATCAGTGTCGGCTCCTTGGCGTTTCTCGGATTCGGGATCTGAGGCACAACATCCAACTTCTGTGGAGATTTTTCTACTCAGGGTTCTTACCTCATCTATCCTCTCCAGAACCAACATGACATTTTATTGATCAAATCTTCTCTAACTTTTCTATTTCATTAGCTCTGTTTCCATCACTATTTATTTCTTCCTTCTATGCTTTATGTGGTTTTTTTTTTTTGTTTTTTGTTGTTTGTTTTTTTTTTTTTTTTTTTGCTATTTGTTGCTAGCATATGGAGTTGAATGCTTAGTAAATTTTGTTTCAGTCTTTCCCGTTCTTGGGGAAGCACATGTAAGGTTATACACTGCTATAGCTGTGCAGGGACTCGCCGCCTGTCAACATCCCCCAGCATTAACCCACCCTCCTGAGCAGTGGGCCAGTGCCAGGAGGGACGCCCATCCCTGCTGCTGCTCAGGGCACTTGGTCAGGCACTCTGGGTGCCAGACAGCCCACACACCTTCCAACCGCCAAGCAAATATGTATGTCATGTACGCTGGTGTGCAGACAGTGCTTTCATCTTTATTGACTTTAAAACAATTATGGGGCAGCCTGGGTGGCTCAGTAGTTTAGTGCCGCCTTCTGCCTGGGGTGTGATCCTGGAGACCCGGGATGGAGTCCGATGTCAGGCTCCCTGCATGGAGCCTGCTTCTCCCTCTGCCTCTCTCTCTCTCTCTCTCTCTCTCTCTCTCTCTCTCTCTCTGTGCTTCTCATGAACAAATAAATAAAATCTTTAAAAAATAAAACAATTATGATTTCTGTTTTTCTTGCCTCTTGAACCCAAAATTATACAGAAAGGTGATTTTGTAATTTCCAAGTGAAAAGATTTTCATTTGCCTCTCACTCCTTCCAACCCAAGAATGTAGCCAAAATCATTTCAACTTTTATCAGTTCCCCATGGGTATTTGAAAAAAATGAATATTTCCATTTGGAAAGGACAGATAGGTAGATGAGTAGATGATCAATAGATGGCAAACATTAAATGTATATTATATCAAGCCTGTTCGTTTTTATATATCTCCACTTTTGATGTGTGTGTTTACTTGATCTTCTGATTTCTGAAAGCTTTGGTGGATGAGACTTCCGGACCACAGGGGACTGACTCCTGACCCAGCTGCCCCCAGACACCCCCCTTGACATGCTCTCCCCAATTCACACCCAGGCTGGTCACACCCCCCATGACAGAGTAATCTGCAGCCACCTCCATCTCCCAGACTCATGGACAGGGACCCTCAAGGGCAAAGATGTTGTCTTTACAGACCCCACCCCTCATGGCACCCACCACCTAGCTAATTAGGGCTGGGTAACTGAGAGAGTACGTGTGCTTCCCAGATACCTTCTTTTTTTATTTTTTTAAGATTTTATTTATTCATGAGAGACATTTCATTTATTCATGAGAGACACAGAGAGAGGCAGAGACACAGGCAGAGGGAGAAGCAGGCTCCATGCAAGGAGCCCAATGTGGTACTCGATCCCAAGTCTCCAGGATCATGCCCTGGGCCGAAGGCAGCGCTAAACCACTGAGCCACCCAGGCTGCCCCCAGATACCTTCTTGATCGTCACTAATATCTATTTGGTGTTGATTCCTTGAGTGAGAGCTCAGTTCTCCAATGGTAGACTTAAAACAGTGTTCCTACAGGAAAGCAAATCCATGAAAGGAAGAGACTCCTGTGAATGCCCCATATTGTGAGCACAGCCATAGAGCACACCTGCAAAAGCAATGATGTCATTGTTTTATCTTGCCCTGACTGTCCCCCAGCATGAATCGGGGCCACTGAGGGACCCTTTCATACTTGCTGAGGTCGGAATATTTGTGTTCCCCCCAAACTCACGTGTTGAATTCCTAAGGCCTGATGGGATGAAATTCACAGGTGGAGTCTTCATGAGTAAGATCAGCAACCTTACCAGAGACCCTAGAGTGCTCCCACCCCCCTCCCACCGAGAGGGGACACAGCGTGGGCATCTGGGAGCTGGAAGTGGGCCCTCAGCAGACACCTCAGAAATCTGTCAGCCAGATCTTGGACTTTCCAGCCCTGGAACTATGAGAAATAAATTTCTGTTGTTTACAAGCCACCCAGCCTGTGGAATGTTCCTGCAACCACCTAAATGGTCTAAAACAATATCCTTCTAAACAACCAAAACACTTAGAAACAAAAACATACGGAGCACAGAAGCTGAAGCCAAAGGAAGCAGTTTCTGAGACCCTGGTCTACCTTTGTGTCTGGTTACATCTGTTCACCATGTAGGGATGAGTGACCCGAGGCAACCCCAGGGAGGGCAGATGGCTGAGTGAGGCTGACTGTGGGGATGGACACAGAGCCCAGGCCAGCACAGCCCCCGAGTGTAAGCAGCTTCACGTGGATATAAGTTTACAAACAACACGCCTGGAGACCCAGAGGAACAGCCTGGGCTGCCCGGGTTGACACAAGCACATCGTCCCCGAGTCTCAGCTCTGTCCACCCACAGCAGGCAGGCCACGTTCTCTCCTGTGGTCATGCTCCACAAACACGGGACTGCGAGGATCCTCCGGGCTGCTCTGTGACCTGTTGTCTCCGCAGAGCTGAGTAGAGGACATTCACACCCCACCTCCAGCCAGAGACGATTTCCAGAGCGTGACAGATGAGGGCTACCCAAGGGAGAGACCCAGCCATAGAGACCCAGCCCCAAAGGCAGGTAGGCTCTGGTTGGCCAGGTGACTGGAGATCCTTGGGTGGGACCATCTCATCCCTGGAGAGGGCCCATTCTGCTAGGACTCCTTGCGGGGGGAAAGGTCATCAAGAGTGGGCTTCTGAAGGGTATGGGACCTCCCTGCCAGGTCTCTCTGGCCTCCCCTCCAAGCCCAGCCCCACCGCTGGTCCCAGCAAAGATGTGCTGGAGCCAACAAGCCTGGTCAAAAGACCACCCTGGAACTGGAAGAGAGACAGCAACCAGAGACAGGCTTCACCTGCTGCTCCGGGGCCTCCAAGACCAGCCTCTGACCACCATCCCCCCACCAGGAAACCCAGCAGGCAGGGGTCCTGGGAAGCCCCAGGTGGTCCTGAAATGCACACGGGACAGGCTGGTCCCTCCACCCACCCACAATCCCCTGGCTCGAAGCCCTCAGAACTCTGACAATCTGGGGTGGGGTTCTAGGGGGTCCCCCAGTCACTCCCTATCTGCAAAATGGGCATGAGGACCTGTGAGCCCCAAGAGACGGACCTCTCTGAATACCCTGAAATAAAACAGGAACCCCCAGGACAGGATGACTCTTTATCGGAGAAAGCACACACAGCACAGATGGAGCTCAGCCAGCACGCGGGCTCACAGGACCCCAGCGCAGAGGGGCCTGACTCCCAGGGGCCTGGGGAGGAGGCCTGCGCTGGGCGCCCCAGGCCACGGCTGTGGGCAGACAGGGGGTCTCGGGCGGTGCACGGGCTCCCCGCCAGGAGGGTCAGACACAGCGCCGCGGGCCCTGCAAACACCGCGCACACTCTCCATCCAAGCCCCTCTCAGGGGCGAGTGGGCGGGCCAGGCCCCAGGCCGGGAGCGCCGGGGCAGCCCAGGGCGGGTGGGACCAGGCCGGGGATGGGGTCAGGGCCCGCGCAGGAGGCGGGGTCAGGGCCGGGGGCGGGGTCAGGGCCCGCGCAGGAGGCGGGGTCAGGGCAGGAGGCCGGGCCGGACGCCCAGCCCAGACAGTGGGCACAGCAGCAGCAATTTGGGCTCCCGCCTTGGTGCGTTTTGCCCCGCGGCCCAAGGAGGACGAGCCCGAGCAGCACGAGCGCAGTGGGCTGCGTCCCGGGGCGGGGGTGGGGGGGAGGGGAGCCCTGCCCACGGTGGCCAGAGAGGGCGGCTCCCCGGGACCCCCCCCCCCACCCCCCCACCCCCCCACCCCCCCCCCCCCACCCCCCCCACCCCCGGCCTGGCCCTCCCTCCGCGGCGCCCCGCCCGCCGGGCCTCACAGCAGCTGCTCTGGGCGCTTGCTGCGCCACACCACCAGGCCGGCCATGGCCACGGTCAGCAGGACCGGCACGGCGATGAGCGGGATGAGCACCTCATCCGGGGGGTCCTCCCAGTGCGTCCTGTCCACCGTGCAGTTGGCGAAGAACTGCCTGTGGACGCCGGTGATGAAGCCCTGCGCCAGGGGGTTGGGCCAGTAGCAGCCCACCACGTTGGTCTCCACTTCCGTGCAGTTGGTGAAGCTCTCGTAGTACCTGCAAAGGCGGACGGCGTGACAGGCGCCCCTCCTGCTGCCCCCGAGGGCAGGGAATGGGGGCCCAGTCCTAGGCCCCCTCATACTGGGGACCCTATGGCACCCCACTCCCGGCCTCCTGGCCCAGAGGCTCCTGGGCAAGGTGATCATCCCCACACACACCAAGCCTTCCCCCCTGGGTCTCAGCCGCCTCCCCCACGGCACAAGTGCTCTCTACTCCACCTGGCAGGATGCCTGCCACACATCCCCTGTGCCCCACGCCCCCACGCCAGTGACATGACCTCATCTAGCCCAACCCTCCCACCTCCCACCTCAAGGAAGAGCAAACCCAGCAAGGGAGCCCTCAGCCTGGACCCAGCCCCCAGGACCCCCAGGACTTCCCAGACCTGCCCAGAGGACACATCAGGCCTGACCCCTTTCTCCAAGGCAGAGGGGTGCACGACCTGCAAGCCCTTCATGATCTAAGATGCTCTGTGGGCCCCAGGGGAGACGTCTCTCCAAGGCCAGGGGCCAGCTGCCTCATTTGCCAGGTCAGGCTCGACCCCCCTCCCCCACAGGCCTCCCTGTCCATGTCATCAAACCTCTGAAGGGCACTCAGCAAGCCACCCATGAGGTGCCACCTCTGTCCAGCAGGAGGGCTCTGGGCAGGTCTACCGGCCGACCAAGGTGCAGCTACGGTGACCCAGAGTTAGCCAGACAGCCACCTCACCCTGAGCACAGCCAACCACCTCTGGAGGCGGGAGCCTGCACTGGAACCACCACCCAAGATGCTCTGGAGGGAGGACTGGGCAGACACCTGCCAGGGGCACCAGCTCTGCCCATGCCCATGCCTTCCCACACCTGGCTGAGTGCTGCACCCAGGATAGGAACAGGGGGGCCAGGAGTCCCGGCTTCGGCTCCCCGCGGGATTGAAAGCTGGGGTGAGGCAGGCCTGAGGCTCTGTGCCCACGTCCTCTTTTCACCGTGTCCTGGGGAACGTGGCCTGACCTGAGCCATCAGGAAGGAACTGCTTCCTCCACAAACGCTGTCTCTGCCCAACAAGGGGTAGGAGACGAGGAGGAGTGGACTCACTTGGCCAGGTCTCCGAGTACCCAGCCCTCCTGGCAGCACCCGGCTGTGTCCTAGTCCAGATGCTGGAATGCAGGTCACACACCTGGGCCCCCCAGGTAATGCCTCCAAGGAGGAGCCCGCACAGCAGAAGAGAGCCAGAAATAGAAGGGACGGCCTGAATCATGTCCAGAGCCTGGGACCTGCCCAGGTCACGTCCCCAGGAAGCCCATCATCCCCAGACCCGCCCTCCACACACTGGGGCTCAGCTACCTGCTGCCCAGGAGATCTCCAGCCTGGCCTTTGCTCAGGGCAGCCCTCGTGCCCAGAGTCTGACCAGAGCCCTATGCGCTGACTCCCTTGCCCCCGGGAAGGCCACTGCCACTCTCCCCAGACTGGAGATGAGCCCGAGGACGGATGAGGTGCTGTTTGCATGACCTCAGGGCACCAGGGTCCCATCACGGTTTGCACCCTCCCAGCATCCCCTGGTCACCTGGGCCTCCCTTTGGTGCGGCTCCCAGAGGACCCTCCCTCCAGCTACTGGGGTGCTGCGTACATAGTAAAGAAGATGCAGCTGTAGCCCTGATGGCAACCATGGGTCCCCAGCCCCCCGCCAGATGCCCTCACCCACCAGGCAGGCACTTTCCCAACTAGGCTCCCTACTCCACCTCTTGCTTTCCCTTCGAGATTGGCTGAATGCCGTGCTGCTCATGGGCGATACATCACGGCAGCTGGAAACCTTGCTAGCAGCCACCCCTTAATGGGATGGAGGGGGTCTCCCTCCTCAGCTCTGAGGTGAAGTCAAGGGCGGTGACGTCGGGCACAGGTCACCGCGGGGACAGGCCACCCTGGGGCTCACTGCCAGTGCCGCCCCGCCGCCTGAGGCCCACCCAGGGTTGCCTCTCCCGCTCTGCCTCTGCATCCTCAGGGTGTGCTCACTATGTCGGGGGGCGGGGGCAGCCACCCCTGCCTCCTAGGAAAGGGTGCCCGGGAAACACGAGGTGAGCGCTCCACATGTCTGACAGTGTTTCCATGATGACGGATTGGGGGGAAGCATTCTAGAATTCTGAAGCGCCAGGCCCCCGCCTCCGCGTCTCCAGGGCTGCGTGGAGAGCCTGAGGCCCCAATTCTTCACCTGTGTGTCTAGCCCGTGTTAGCCTCTCTGCACACGTGCCTCGGCCCCTTCCTGGCCCACACCGTTGGGCCAGGTGCCCGGGACCCCTCCCTCGCCCTCTTTCTCCCACTCCCTCCTCAGGGTCTGCAAACCTGAGCCCTCACTGGGAAAGGGCCCTGAGTTTCTCCCTGTGTCCCTTGCCTGCCTCCTAGAACTCCTGCCCCGGGATGCCTGGCCTGCTAGCTGACCCCTGGCTGCCTCCGGCTCCCAGCTCTGTCCTTCTGCTTCTGAGGAGATCTCCTCCCACGGTCATCTTCTGCTCTGTGTTCCTGTCCAGGGGCGCATTCTGTGTCTACAGCACCTCCTCTCACTCCTCTCCATGCCTCTGGGGCACTGATATAGCCCTGGGATTTCCCAGTGCTGCAAGGGGCCTCGAGGTGCTGGACTCTGCCCTGCTCTTCCCAGCAGAGCCCTTTATCAGAGTCCCAGTCCCTCCTGGACGCTCACGGCTGGCGGGGGCCTGGGCCTGGGGAGAGGGGCTGCCTGGAGCCTCCAGGGCTCTGCTGGGCCGTCCAAGGGGAGCCCCAGTGGCCCCACACCTCGGGAAGGACAGCTCACCCCAGGGGTCACCTTCCAGGTCCAGTGGAAGGGACGGGCGGGTGCCAGCCACTGTCCCCAGATCCCCTGCTCTCCATCCCCAACAGCTGTTCCAGGGGCTTCCGTGCCCAGGGCCCCAGCAGACAGTGGTTCTGGGAGGGAGGTCCATACCCCCAATCCCTGCGTGGACCTGGTACAGTGGTTGTGGGGGAACTGTTCCTGGATGAAACAGAATGAAATTTCTCCATCTGCTGGAAATGTGCAGGGGCAGGCACGCTCTGGGCAAGGGACGGCATGAGGGGGTAAGCGGGGGCAGGCGTGGGCAGGGGTGGGCAGGGGAGGGTAGGCAGGGGCACAGGTGGGCAGGGGAGGGCAGATAGTGGTGGGGGAGGGAGGGCAGGGGAGGGCAGGCAGTGGGGAGGCAGAGCAGCGGCACTCACACAATGAACTCCGACAGGTTGCACCACTTCCAGACGTCCACCTTGTGCATCATGTCGGCAAAGGCCTTCCCACACCGGGGCAGCTTCTCCAACATGCGTGTCTCGTTGCAGCCACCCACTCGGGGACACCCACCTGGAGAGGGGACAGCCACGGGCATCACACTGCTGGGAACGTGGTTTGCAAGGTGATCCTGGAGCCCTCCTGCTGACACCACCCACCCACCACAGGCGGAAGAGGGGTCCCTCATGCTGGCCTCCCCCCATATGGCCCAGGGAGGTAAAGCCCCTACCAAGAGGGGGCCCACATGGGTGGTGCCTAGATGGGACCCAGAGGGCCGCAGCCTCCTGACGGGGAATGGGAGAAAGAGGGCGAGGGAGGGCAGCAGGCAGGGGATGCGTGTCCCGGGAGGGCGGGGAGGCAAGAACAGAATGGCTCTGGTGGAGGGTGGGGTGGGGAGTGGGTCCCACCAATCAGAGATGGGGAGAGGCCCCACTGCTCCTCCAGGGTCCAGGGTTCCCTGAGCACGTCCCCAGAAGGATTCTGCATGTCTGGGCCCTCTAGGAGCACAAGGCCCCCATGGGGTTGCACCCACCTCCCAGGAGGCCCAGGGCTGACCTGACACAGGGACTCACATTCCAGAGGCAGAAGCCAGACCATCAGTCACTCCCCAGGTCTGGTACGGGTCCCCCCAAGGTTCCCAGCACCCCACTCCCCACTCCACCTCCACCTCTGGCACCCCCATGCCTCCACCCCCACCCTCCCCAGCTCATTTCCCTACTGAGCAGCCCCCACCTTCAGGACCAGCCCACTGTTCCACCCCAGACACCCCTTATAAGCTTCCTTCCTGTGGCCCCTGCTTTGGCTCCCAGCACACCATCGAGAGAAAGCCTTGCTATGTGTGTGCACACGTGTGTGTACCTGTGTGCATGTGTGTGCATACAGCCCTGCCCTGTATGTCCTGGTGTGTGTGTGTGTGTATGTGTGAGTGTATGCGTACATGTGTGTATATCTCTGTGTGTGTCCTGGCAGGAAAAACCACAGGGAAGGACACAGGAAAGAGGCCCACACCCAGAACTGGGCAGACCTGGGCTCACACTGAGCATCACTAGGCAGCAGCTGACCCCAGTTTCCCCATTGGCAAACTGAGGGAAACAGGCCATGTCTCACAGGGTGGCTGTACGGTCAGGCATTAGGCATGTGCCCAGAGGCTCCCGATGCTCTTACTGTAGGTGTTTGATAAACACCCACTGCTCCCTCACTCCTCTAACCACAGCACCTCACTGGTATTCCAAAAAGACTTTTCAAGAGAATGGATGGATGGATGGATGGATGGATGGATGGATGGATGGATCAATGAATGAATGATTAGTTCCTAAGGGCAGCAGAACAGATTTCACCGTCTGAGCACAAGTAAATGCATCAAAAGGAAATGGTGGGTTTGGATCCACTCAGATCCTGCTCTGCAGGCCAGGTCATCACCAGGGGAGGCCACAGGGTGCCCTGTGTGGAAACCCATGCCAGGCTCAGGGAGGGGCTTGCGCCATACAGGTGACCTCATGACCATGAAGTGCCTCTGGGAACAGAAGGGGAGGCAAGAGAGAAGAGGGCAACGCAATAAAAACTCTAAAAAAATAATTAAGTCCAAAAGAAGACCGAAAAAAAAGAAGAGAAAAAGTTCTGATGACACAAAAATAGATGTAAACCAAACCATGTCAACAGTCAGATTGAGGGGCACCTGGAGGGTTCAGTGGTGGGACATGCGACTCCTGATCTTGGGTTTGTGAGTTCGAGCCCCATATTGGCGTAGAGATTACTCAAAAATAAAAGCTTTAAAAAAAATAGATTGAGAGTCAATGGCCTAAACACCCTAATTAAGAAGCAAAGTTGTTAGATGAGATCAAAGAATAAGCCCCAACTATAGGCTGTACACAAGAATCCTACTTTAAACAAAAAGAGTCAATTATTTTCAAAGAAAAGGGTGGAAAAAGACATACCATCCTACCACTAATCCAAAGAAAGGTGGAGTGCCAATGTGAGTGTTGAACAAAGTATATTTCAGAGCCAAGAATATTATCAGCGATAAGGAGGGTCTTTTATAATGATAAATGGTTCAGTTCACTGGGAAAACATAGCAATGCTAAACATGTATGCACCTAATAACAGAGCATCAAAACATAGGAGGCAAAAATGGATAGGACTGCAAGGAACAAAATGACAAATCCACAATTATAGCTGAGAATTAAATACTCTTCTCTCAATAATTTGCAGAACAAACAAATAGAGAAAAAATAAGTGAGATTACAGAACAGTGAACAGTGAAGGAGTGCCAGGTACAGACAGAAAGCCATGAAGCCAGACTTCACTTTGCCTATGGGTGGGCACCCACAGTTACTAGGAGTGAAGGGGAGGCAGTGGGGTTGGAAAGGTGGACCCAGAGCCAGACTGGTGCAGGCCCCCCAGGGCAGTTTTCAACCCTGGAAACTCTCCCCTGAACCCAATCTCAGAGCTTGCACTCACAGAGTCGAGGCAAACAGCTGACAGTCCTTCCAGAGGAGCTTGCCATCTCAATACCCGACCAATGTACACAACGTGCCCTGTCCTAAGTAAGGTCCTACTCGTGGAGGCTCTTAAAGACAGGATCATCACACAGGGGAAGTCACCCACCTGCTCAGTCACGCAGTGGAGGGCAAGCCCCAAGCTACCTGCCTGCAGAGCTGACCCCCCTGGCCTGTCACGCTGGCGTGGGATGACACCCTCATGCCAACCCCATCCTTGGTTTGCCTGAGGAGCAGCATCATGCCTCCTGCTCCGCATCCCCCTCGTTTAAATCCCCCTTGTTTAAATGCCCAGAGGAAAAGTGACTTTCTCACGGCCAAATGCAGTGTCAGCGTGGTCCAGGGTGTGCCATGGGCTGGCCTGGCTCCACTGCCATGCCCAGATGCACCTGCCCAGCCGCTGGCAGGAAGGCAGCCCTGGGTCCCAGGCCACATGGGCATGGTGTTGGTGATTTGGGAGTGCGGGCCCTCGGGGGCCACGTGGAGGGGGATGATGATGAAGCCAGCCTGTGTTCCTTTCTCCCATCACTGCCCTATTCCAAAGGCACCTTCCTCTGCAGCTCCCCAGTGGGCTTCCCACCACAGGTGCTTTGCTTCTTAATTAGGGTGTTTAGGCCATTGACTCTCAATCTATTTTTTGCCACCAGCATTCTGCACACCTAGCCCTTGGGCCCATCCCTGAGCCTGTCTGTTCCCTGATGGGATCATCACAGCATCCCATCTGAGTCTCCTAAGCTCCATCCACCTCCCACATGTGCATAAGCCACATATGTCCCACACTGTCACCTCCTCCTGGCTGCTGCCACACCTCCCAGCGAAAACCCACCTTTACCTAGACCACCTACCTGATCCGACAGCTGGACTGGACCCTGACACCTGGACCTGCACCTCTGGACCCCCTGGGCCCCCGGGACCTAGACCCCTTGGACCTGGGTCCCCTAGGGCTGCATCTCCTGGACCTGGACCCCAAGAAGCCCCTAGACCTGGAAGTCCTGAACCCCAGCATACCCTAACCATCTGCTGTTGGATCACTAAGACCCAGCCCAGCGCTTCCTTCCTCTTGTTCTCCTCCCTCTGCCCTGGGACCCTTGCTCTTCTCTCCTCTCTGCCTCCTTCTTCCTGGACTAGAGTCTCCACCCAGCAGTGCAGCAGGAGCTGGCCAGGGCTGGCTGAAAGTATGCCACTGAGCACCATGGGGGGTGCTGTGAGGATGCTAGGGCAGTGCCACCTCTGTCTGCACAAAGCAGGCACCAAAAGTGTCCCAGGGCAGGGGGAGGGGGCACGTTCTGGCATCATCTCTGATGCGCGCCCTGCTCAAAGGGCTCCCAGCAAACCCAACAACCCAGCCAGTGTCAGAACAGCAGGTAGAGACACAGATTCCTGACAGCTCAGAGAAAGTGGGCGGCTGCCACAAGCTACCAGCTGCATCAGAAAAGGTCTCAGGAATTAAACTGAAATACAAAACTAGTTGGTTCCATCAGGGCAACAAAGAAAATGTGGTACTGTGCTCCTTTTGTCTAGGGGACTTCCAGAGACTCCAGAAGATGATAACCCGCCAAACCGATGCATTTCCTGGAGAAAGGCCTTTTACAGCGGGGCATTTGCAAGTGGACTGTGGGAGCCTCTCGTCCTCCTCAGATGGAGACGGGGTGCAACCACACCAGCCACCAGGCTCTGAGCGACAGGCACAGCCAGCAAGGCCAGAGTTTCTAGAAGGTTCTGCCCCTGCCCCTGATGGGGCAGTCTCCCCTGTAGTCCCCTCCCCACCCGGGGCCTCACTTACTTATCTATAAAAGCAGCCATGAAAAAAAAAATTTAAAAGAATAAATAAATAAATAAATAAATAAATAAATAAATAAATAAATAAATAAAAGCAGCCGTGAGGTCAGAAGACCTGCAAGACACCCGTCAGCCAACCACATTTGGGCAGCCACCGTGTCACTGGGGTACATGCTATCATGCCACCGCACCCGGGCCCGAGTCAGGGTGACAGGAGCTAGTGCGGCATCAGGACGTCATTACCCTTACCACTGGCAAAAAGAGGACAGTGTCACGTTCACACACGGCACTGGCGCTGCCTGGGGTGCCACCAGCCCCTGGAGCCACACACAGGTGCCAGGCGCTGGCGGGCGCCTTCCCACGCATCCTTGTGTCTGAGTCAAAGCCTCGGGGGCTGGCACAGTGGTTAGCGGGACTAAGATGATGGAATCCAACTAAAGGTAACGATGACCTTTCACATGTTGCCATTCCTACATCTATGTTGCAGTGGGGGAAACTGAGTCCAGAGCCAGTAAGTAAGTGCCTTACCCCATCCTGGGGTTGAGCATTTGCAAGAAGGAGCCCCCAGGGTTTGCACTCAGGCCAAAGGGTGCAGTCAGGGAGCTGGCCAGACACGATCCCCAGCTGGGGGGCTTCTGCTGAACCTCACCATCCCAGGGCACTGCATGGTGGCTGCTGCCTCTGAACGGGGGTCTGGAATTGCCCAAGACAGCTGAAGTCACCTTCCTGGCCTGGCCCTCCACAGCCCATCCTCGAGGGGCCTCTGCCAGCAGGAAGAACCAGTCCCCCAGCTGGCCCCGCTTCCTGGACAGCCAGGCCCCCACTTTGCTCAGGTGCCAGCAGCAGCCCTGGGACCCTCGCTCCAGATGCAGCCACCTCCAGAGCTCGGCCCCACCTCTGACAAATGGAGTGTGACCAAGAGCAGGTTTTGCCTTTCCCTGCATCCTACCTGGTCAGCAGCCACCTCCCAAGCCCCCCCCCCCCCCGGCAGGACCAGCCCTGGTCTGGGTGTGCAGAGAGGCTGGCCCGGTGCCTCCCCAGCCGGGCACCGCCCCCCCCCCAAGTTCCATGGCAGGGAGACCGTGGAGCCACTGAAGGAGGACCAGATGTTGTGAATGCAGAAGATGTTGGTGCGGGGTCTGCCCTACTGGAGGCAGGTCCAGGGAGCCCCTACCGGCCTTGGGATGAAGCAAAGGGCTCCCTTTCCCCGAGGAGCCAAAATCTCCATCCCAGGGGCCTTGAGTTTGAAGCTTACTGAAATCCCACCTCATTGTGCTCATGTCCAGATGCCACCAGAAAAAATCCGCCTAATTCTAGGCTCTAACCCTGGAGGGTGAGATGAAGCCACACTGCCCCCCCCCAGACATCTCCGGGGGAAGGGTGGCCCAGAGATCGGAACCTGAGGGGCAATCCAGCCCTTTCCCACCTTGGAACCTGTTCCAAATCAGCAAAGCTGATGAATTCAAACAAGCTCAACTTTGTGTCTTACAGCCAGGGACACAGGTCAGCTAGGGCAAGGCTGACATCCCAAAGGACCAGGGGACAGCGGCCCCCTGAGAGGTCCTGAGCGCCCAGCCCACCCCGGGGGAACCAGCGCTCCCACCTCAGCTCAGCAAGCCTCCCAGGGAAGCCCTCCCCAAGCACACACACAGCCTCTTTGGATCATCTCTAGGAAAAAATTTTCCAAACAAGCTTTTCTTTCCATCCATCCCCGATCCGTAAATACTGTATCCTCCCGGGAGCCCCGATTTCTCGTTGGAGAGGGGATCTGGGAGGGAAGCCTGGGGGGCTGCCCCCTTCCCGGTCCTGGGAGCCGGGGGCACGCGCGCACACGCATCACAAACGCTGTGGACCAGTGCAGGTGCAAAGGACCCGTCCTGCGCAGTCCGGACGCCTCTCCCCGAAGCCCTGAGCGTGCGGTCCACGCCGAGGCCCCGGACCGGAGCTCACTCACTAGCCGGCGGCCAAGTGGCAGCGGGACCTGCGCCGCCCCCGCTCCTCGGGCCACCCCAGCCCGCCGCCGGCGGAGCCCGTCGCGACAGCCCGTCGGCCTGGGCTCCTCGGGGGACCGTGGACGGGAGCCCCCCGGGAGGCTGCGGCCGGCGCCCGGGTCACACCTCGCGGCTCCGGAGCCGGGCGCGCCGGGCGGGCCGGGACCCGCGCAGAGCAGGAGGCGCGGCCCGGACGGGTGCAGCCCGGTGGCCCCGAGGTCCCGGACCGGAGCGGGCCCCGCGGCCCCTTACCGCAGAGCAGCAGCAGCAGCAGCAGCCTCAGCTGCGGGCGCCGCCGCGCGCGCGCCTCCATGGCTGGATGGTTGCGGCTCGCGGTCGGCTCGGTCCCGGCTGGGAGCGCGGGGGGCGCCCGGGAACGCGGCCGAGGGTGGGGCCGCCGAGAGCCCGCCCCCAGCCTGCGCCCTCCCCCTCGGGGACGCGCCCACCCACTGAGGACACTCCCGCTTCCAGCGCGCGCTCCGCTAGGACGCGCCCTCCCAGGACGCGCGCTACCTCCCCCAGGACGCGCCCCCCAGCCGGGCGCACGCCCCCCACCGCGGGTGCGAGCCCCGGGCTGCTGTTCCGGGGTGCTGCCGGCGGGGCGGGGGCGAACTGGGGGGGCTGCTACGGAGTGGGCCGGAGTGCGGGGGTGGCACCAGCCGGAGGGGGTTGCTGGGGGAGAGAGTTCTGTGTGCTGGTGCACGGAGAGGCCCCCAGAGCGAAGCGGCGGACCCCGAGTCTTTCCTGGCCCTGCGCCGCCCCCATACTCTTCTGGGGGCCCCCCTGTGCCTTTGCAGCCGCCTGCACCAGCAACGGTGGGGGCCTGGGCCCTGCCCTGTGACCTCTGGGAAGCTGCAAAGGACAAAATCAGGGCCAGGAGAGTGACTGGTAGCCTGGAAGACCTGGCCGCAAGGAGTGCTGGGGCCCTGGAGTGAGGGAGGCAGAGACTTGGACAGATGACTTCTGTGGGTTTGGTCACCTCTGTGGGTTCGGTCAGCTCCTGGCACAGATCTTGGTCCCAGTGGACACCCGGCCACGCCGCTCTCCTGAGCCCCTTGGAGTGCAGGACCCCCCTGCCCTCCAGTGCCTGCAGTCTAACCCTGGGCGCTGAGCCACAGGTGGGGCTCCCTCAGGGACTGCTCTCTGCTGGGGCCCATCCCAGACCAGAGGGACAGAGCAAATGTGCATGGGGGGAAGAACAGCTCATGGGCTCGCCCCAAAGTCCAGGTGGTGGTGGCAGTGACGCACCACTGCTGGCTGCGCCGGCTGACCCTTCCTGACCCTTCCTGAATTAGTTACAGGATCGAAGCTTTCTGTGCCTTTTCTGGAAGAAACCAAAATGATTTCAACGGAGACTTAAAGCTAATTAAAATTGATCAGCCTTCCTGCCTGCCTTCCACCAGAGGTGGTGGGGAGGGCAGGCACAGGAGCAACCCAAGCTGTCAGCTCGCACAGGGGGGCCTTGGGCACAGCTCAGCCACATGCCAGCTGCCCTCCCTCAACTGCCCTGCACCAACCCAGGCAGAGCAAGAGCACGGGGCAGGTGCCCGGCAGCGTCCCAGGAGACTGCAGACCCACCCAGGCCAGACCTCCAAGACCCCCACGTTCCCACCCCCTGGTGGGCTCTAGCGGCAGGATGGGTCATCAGAAGGACAGGTCAGAGAGCACCCAGAAGCCTGCTCAGCCTAGAGGCTGTGGCTCCGGGGGGCTAGAACTGGGGAATGAATAGCCAGGACCAAGCCAGGCTGCAGTGATGACAGCGCGAGGGCCTGCACACTCCACCTGGGACCCATTCCGAGGTCTCGCTCTGAGGTCCTGCCCACCCAGGGCTCGGGAGTGCCTCGGACCTGCACAGACCGCTCCTTGTCCCCGCTAGAGGGAGCCCCTGCGCGCTCACTGTACACACACACACACACACACACACACACACACACACACATCCCCGCCCCCTCTTCCCCCTCTGCACACTCCCCCTGTGCACACCCCCTGCGCATGCCCCATAGGGTTCCCACAGCTAGTGAGAAGGGGTTAGGAGAGACTCCTGCCCTTTCCACCTCGTCCTGACCCCCTCCTGTCCTGGCACCCACTGGGCACATGGACCCTGTGCACAGCTACCTCCCCCAGCCACAAGCTCACTCCTCTCCTCTCCAGAGGGGCAGGTCAACAGTCCCTGGAGATCCAGGCTGGCATTACTGTTTGCTGTGACCCCTGGATCGTGGCAGAGGAGACATTCTAGGAACTCCAAGGCTGGGACATAAGCTGTTGGCAGCCGTTGCTCCATACTCTGCAGAGCTGCTTCATCCTGGACCGGGAGCAGCCCCATGAGCAACCCTGGGATGAGAGCGGAGCCCACCACGTTCCAGCCACGCGGACAGGCTGAGTGGGTTCCTGGGCCATCTCAACCCCCCCACACCCTGGAGCAGGACAGCCTCCCAGTGGAGCCAGTCACGCAGCGCAGTGAGCATTGTGGTGTCTGCTGTGTAAGGGGTGCTGGGCCGTGCACCCAGAAGGGGCACCCTGAGGGAAGGCTGAGCTCGAGAGGGGAAGGGGAGGGGAGGGTACACCCTAGACAGGGGGTGCGGACGCCACATGGTAGATGCACAAGCAGTGAGAGGGACTGAAGCCTGCATCCCTCCCTCCAGCGACAGAAGCCCCCACCTCACGAGATAGCCCACGCCTAGAGCCCAGCTGATCGGGATCCCCGGGGGGTCTCGGGGGCCAGCTGCAGGCCCCCGGCCCAGGGCGGAAAGGACACATCAGGCCCGGGGCAGGAGCTGCCCTGACATCTGGGTCCTTCCCTGAGCTCACTGGCTGAGACCCCAGAAGAGCCAGTGGCTCTTCCCCCAGCGCAGTCTTCCCCCAACCAGCCCTGAGAGGACCTGCACCTGTCCCCCTGCCCGGCCGGCTTTTGTGTCCTCTGGCCTGGCTTTCCACTTCTCTCCTGCCCCTTCACGTGGCTCCTGCTAGCTGCCAGTCCCCTCTGGCTCCCCCTGGCCCCCTGGCTGGGAGTGCCCCTCCCCGTCCTCCTGCTGCCTGGTGCCCTCCTCTCCTATACCTGGGACTCCACCCTGGCCCCATCCAGGGCACTGCTGGGCCCAGCAGGCAGTGGGCATTGGAGGGGGGCATGGCTCTGGCACTTGCCCAACCCTGCTCCAGAACGCACCTTCCCTGCACCCGGCCAGCCCTCCCCAGCCCCCTGGCTCTCCTGCTCCCCCCCTCCCCCAGGAGTCCAGGCCCGGGATGCAGCCCAGCCCCCAGGTGGAGAATGTCCTGCTTGGGTGAGCTGCCCGGCTGCCCTGAGCTCAGCCCCCACACCCTTAAGAACAGGTCCAATCAGCTTCCCTAGGAATTCACCCCAAGCTCCCAAAGCTTCCTCTGGAACAGACATGCTCACCCCTCCTCCAGGAGGCTCAAGCAAATCTCCCCCACATCCTGGTGGCTGCTCCTCCATCGGAAGCCCCCAGGCCTGGAGGCATGCCATGCACATCAGCAGCTCTGCTCCCGGGTTTGGAGCAAGAGCCATGGAAGACTTAGGTGTGGCCAGGTTCCTCGCAGGTCCCGGGGAAGCTGCAGACCATAACTGCCCTGGCTCATCCCCAGGTTGGGGTGACGAACAGGGCCGAGGGGGCCAGTCAGTGCCCAGGGGGACGGAGGTTGGGGCGGAGGTGGGGAGGACCTGGACAGCTGGACGAGACCAGCGTTCACACCTAGTGCCCCATGTGTTTCCCCAGCCCTGTGGCCCCCAGCAGGTGCCTGTGGCATCAAAGAAGCCCAGCCCTCTGGTCCCTCCTTTTGCAGCAGGCCTGCAGGCTCCTGTCCCCTCCTTGCTCCCCCCTTGCTCCCCCTTGGCCGAGGGCCACCAGACAGAAGACTGAGCATGTGGTCTCATCAAGGAGCAGTCCCTGCAGGCTCCTGGGACCAGTGACAGGCCCTCCAGGAAAGAGATAGGCACAGCCAAGTGGGAGTCCCCTGCAAGGCTCCCCGTGGCCACAGGCCCTGTGCGGCCAGCCAAGCCCCGCAGGTGACCCGAGTGGCCTGGCTCCTGAACGAGTACCATCCCACCGTGTGTGCAGCGGCGTGAGAGGGCTGAGGTGGGGCAGGCCCTGAGTCCCGGAGGTGCAAGAGGGCACAGGAGTGGGCAGGTGGCTGCACGCTTGGCTCCCCCTGCCGACGGACTCTGGCCACTGCAGCTCCATGCCAGGGGGCCCCAGGGAGGTCTCCCAGGCCCAGGGTTGGAAAAGGGGACCCCCAGCCCCTTCCCAGCTGCTCCGGACCCGGGACTCAAGTCTCCGTGTCTTATTATTATTATTATTATCGTTATTATTATAAACTGCACACAGCGTAAAGCCCCGGTCCTCACCAGCTCTAAGGACACAGTTTGGGGCATCAGGCTCGTTCACTTTGGAGGTGGCACTAGGACTGTCCCCATTACACACCAGCTCCCTCCTCCCCCACCCAGCGCTGCCCCCCACCAGCTCCTCTCCACACTCCCCCCCCCCAGCACTGGAACCCCACGCTGTGTGTTCCTCGGTGTGGCTCATCCGCTCAGCATCACCTGTTCCAGGTCCCTCCACATGGGAGCAGGTGTCAGGGTCCTTCCTCCTCCAGGCCGGGGGTCTCCGCTGTGTGAATGGGCCACATTCCATCTAATTGCTTGTCGTCATCCACGTCCTTTCTAAGTGAACAAAGCAGGTTCGCCTTCATTTTATTTCAATTTTATAAAATCGATCAGAAACATTTTGAGGGCAGCCCAGGGGGCTCAGCGGTTTAGCGCCGCCTGCAGCTGGGGGCGTGATCCTGGAGACCCTGGGGTCGAGTCCCGTGTCGGGCTCCCTGCATGGAGCCTGCTTCTCCTTTCGCCTGTGTCTCTGCCTCTCTCTGTGTCTCTCATGAATAAATAAATAAAATCTTTAAAATTTAAAAAAAAAAGTATTTTGGAGTGAATACACTATAATGTTATTCCTGGTCATTTCTGGATCTGGGGGATTTGGAAGGATTTTTAATTTATGGTCCTTTCTGTTTTCTCATTTTCCCACAGTGCCACGAGTGGCCCATGGCAAGTTGTGTGTGTGTGTGTGTGTGTGTGTGTGTGTGTGTACGAGTGTGTTGTGTCGTTCTTGGTCTGTGAGTTGTGCACAGCTATTCCCTATACAGACATGCAGACCCTCGCTCCAGACATCTCTTGGGACAGGTGAAGGGACAACCTAGTGCGCTGCTGGAAGCCCTGCCCCTGGAAGAGTGCCGCAGCCCTCCTGGGGGGCCTGGGGCAGGGGTGCGGCCATCGAGCTCCAAAACGTGGCCTTGTACCTGCGGTCCCCGACCAGCCGATGGAGGAGCTCTCTGAGAGGCCACAGGCATGGGAGGCGGGAGGAGGGAGCAACCCAAGAAGAAGGGGCCATCCACT